GTGTGTGTGTGTGTGTGTGAGAGAGAGAGAGAGAGAGAGAGAGAGAGAGAGAAAGAGAGAGAGAGAGAAAGAGAGAGGCAGGGAGAGAGAGAAATACTGTTAATTTTAGGTGTCAACTGGGCTAGATTAAGGGATAACTAGTGAGCTGCTTAGTATTTCTGGGTGTGTCTATGAACGTTTTTCCAGAGGAGACTGGCATGTAATCAGTGGACTGGGCGGGGACGATCTGCCCTCAATGTAGGTGGGCACCATCTAATCAGCTGGGCACTCAGGTAGAACCAAAATGGCAAAGGAAGGATAATTCCATCTCTCTCCTAAAACTGGGACATCGTTTTCCTCCTGCCCTTGGGCTTCAGACCCTTAGGCTTGGACTCCAGGACTTGCACCTCCACACTACCTCGCCCCAGTGGAGTTCTCTGGCTTTTAGCCTCTGACTGAGAGTTACACCACTGGCTTCCCTGAGCTACGCTCCTGGCATCCCACGGTCTGCAGTTTGCAGATGGCCTGTCATGAAACCTTTCAGTCTCCATAATCAGGTGAGTCACCTAATAGGTCCTCTCCTTCTCTCTTCTTCTCCCTCTCTCAATTCCTTTCTCTTAGATAAACACACACAACTCCAGTTGGTCCTCTCCCTCTGGAAAGTCCTAATACAATATACAATGACACACATATACAATCTGTGGATTCCGCTTCTCCAGAGAACCCTAACATAATCATCTTCCCCTGGGAATTATGGCAGAGGCCTAGGCACTTGGCCTGGCCTTCCAGATTGCTGTCCCCTACTGTCTCCTAGTCACCGAAGACTCTAATATCCAGCACACAGGCTTTCTTCTCCACCCCAAATCCAGTCCCAATCTTGATTTCAATATTCACCAGGCAGAAAATCTAGCATCACAACTCCTAAACTCTCCACATTAGCCACTCTCTCCCACAGCTTAATCTGGTAAATACTAACAACCTTTCAACCTAGGAATTATTGAACATCAATAAACAACATGATGACAATAATGTATCCAAGTGCTGTAAGCTTTTGATTCTCTAAACCTCTCTTCAACTAAAGAGAATACTGTCTCTCAGCTGCTCCACTTGTGCCTACTTGCTGCTCTCCTGGTCTCACCTCCTCCCCTATTCAGCCTAGACTCCAGAGTGGATGATCCCAACTGCTTCCTGCCTCCCTTCAACCCCACCCCCCACCTCCCCAGTACTCTCATTTCCTTTGCGCTACTCTACTGTCACCAGTATTTCAGGCCTGGATTAATGAAACCTAACTTCCCTGAAATGGTATCCAAATGTTGAAGGACTAAAGAAGAAAATCACATGACCATGCATTTTGATGACCCATCAGTTCTGACTCTCAAAAGATCATTTTGCCTCCAACTTAATTAGGAAAACTGAAGCAATCACATGTAAGCTCCTAAAACACTCCCCTCACTATCTATAAACATTTCTGCAATTATACCATCTTTACCTTCTCTAGGTTTTACAGATGAGCTGCCCTTTCAGTACTTACAATAAATTTTTCTACCTCTGTCCTAATTCAGTTCATCCTAGCTTTTGCAGGATCATGTTCCACCTGCTACTCTCCTGCTAGATCTTTTCCCAGCAATAAATGTGTTTAAGTCTTGTCCATGCTTTAAAACAACCTTTGATCCCAGTACTCTGATCAAATAACTGTCCTGTCTCCCCATTTCCTTAGAGTAGTCTTCATTCAAGGAATTGATTTCTTCTTTCTTCCTCAACTTAGGCAACCGATTTTCTGTCCCACCCCTCTACTGAAAATGACCTGACTAAAGTCACCAATGACTTTCAACTGCTTTGCTCAGCTGTTAGTTATTTTCTGAACAGACCTCGCTGCTACACTTACCAGCTAGCCTCCCACCCTGGTAGCAATACCAACTTCTGCTCCTCCTACTACCACATCCACTGACCACTTAATCTGTGCCAGGTACTGTACCGACAGTTTCCCATACATTATCTCATTTAATTCTCACCATACCCCTAGGAGGTCAGTGCTGTTATTATCTATGTTTTTCAAATCACTAAACTGTAGCTGAGTTGGGAAAGTAACTTGCCCAAGGCCATATAGCTGGTACTAGGCGAAAATATTACTCTAACCTAGGTCTTTCTGTCTTCAAAGCCCACACTTTTACCAGATGTTTCACAAATCCTATGACTTCTAGACTCTGCTGGCCTTGGAATTCACTCCCTTTGGATCTCTTAGGACTCCCCTTTTCATCTGACTACACTCTTAAATGTTTATATTCTCTGGGGTGCTATTCTTATTCCACTGTTCTTCTCACTCCCTGAGTGATTTCAATCACTCCTTATCCTGTCACCTCTCACTTCTATCCCTACGTCCACAAGTTTATACCTAGAGCCTTCAAGCTTCACACTCTTTTATCCTACAGGCTACTGGACTCCTCCATTGAGATGTTTAAAACTGAACACAAACTTCCTTTTCTTTATCACAATTAAAGATTACTCAAGCTAGAAATCTAGAACTACAGGAGGAGCTCTTCTTCCTCATTCTCTGCAACCAATCAACGAATACTCCCCTAACCAAATAGCTATCCTTTCCTCTCTACCTCTTCTACCATGCTGCCATGACGCTTGTTCTAGCCCAATTCTATCTAGAGGAGATTCCTGTAAGACCTGCCTATCTCTCTTTTCACTCCTTCCCTGGAAACCATCCTTCACACAGCAGAGAAGTGATTTCAACAACCCACTGATATGACCACAGCACAGCCCCTGTCCCTCAAAGAACAATGTGTGAGTGCTATAATCTAGCTTTTCACAATCTGAAACCTCCCTATTTGATAATGAGAGCTGAAACTAATTGAGAGGTTACTTAATTTTTGCCATTCTCTGTCTTGAAAGTTTCTTTCCTATAAAACCAAACCAAATAAGCTCTTCCCACACACCTGCTGTTTTCCCTATATACCAAGCTATTCTAACCATCTTAAATGTGCTTTCCTCTACTAGCTACTCCTCCCCAAGTGAACTCCTTCTGATCCTTTTCAAACACTTAGTGGAATTAATTAAATTGTACATTTTTAGATCCCAGCCGAGAAATTGTACAGTGGGTCTGGGACAGGGCCCTTTGTGTACTTTTTAAGTAACCACCCAGATGACTCTAATAGATAACATCTTTTGAATTGTGGCTATAAAATAATCTAAGGTTTATAGTTTGCCAGGAAGCCCTACATCAACATCACAAGCATATCCCTTGTGATCCAAAATTTCTATGTAATTTTAATCACTGTACTTCTCACGTTATATATATGTATGTGTGTGAATATATATATATGTATATAATCACTCTTATGTCTATCTTCCTTACTAGCCTATACATCTTTCTTGAAGACAGTGTTGCTCTTTTTTTGTGTCCCCAATAATTAGCACAACTCCAGATTAGAACAGTTTCTACTCCATCAATGTTTAATGGTAAGTAACTAGTAACCAGAAATGAAAATGGATGTATAGACAACAGGAAGACTGGCAGTTAATATTTGCCCTTCTTTGGCATTGGCTGCAAAATGGACAGAATGTGTTATTACCTCTGTAACAGAGCTCGATAAGCAGTAAAATACGGGATACCAATGGCCGCTCCTTGCTTAAAGTCCAGATTTTCAGGAAGTTTGAAAACCGTATGAGCAGCTGCAAGAGCATACTCTGCATAGCCCCCAGAGATCGTGTTGGTAGTGAAAACTCTATCACCTTTCTGGGAGGAAGACATAAATGAATAAATGTACCAGGGTTTAAACATTATGTCAAAATGGGTAAAATCACTTACAATGCAAGCTTTATCACACAAGAAACAAATGAGTACTTACATATTGCCTTGTACCTCTGACAGTTTCATAAAATGACTTAAAAATACTAAAAATTTTTAAATGTTTTATAAGGGGGAACCGATAAAAAACAAACAAACAAACAAAAAAAAAACAATGAAGGGAAATGGGAAAAATAAATGAAGGGAAGGAGAATGCCCTGAGTGCCACAGCAATGACAACAACAATAACTCAGCTTTGTGGAGTGCTTACTATGCTAGGCACTGCATTAGATGTCTTCTGTGCATTGTCTAACTGGATCTCCACAATAGCCTGTGAGGTGGGCACCTGTATTACGTCCACTTCAGATTAGTGGCCACTACATATGTGAGGAAATTGAAGTATAGAAAAGTTTAGTAACATCCTCAAACCAAGCAGTTAGTAAATGGTGGTCAATACAAACCATTATTTTTTGTGCAAAATACTAGGGAAAAGAAAGAAATAAAATTTAAAGTTTCTTCCAAACACCAAATACCTGTTCAATTCTCTGCATGGATGTCCTCACCCTTGCATGTCTAGCATTTCTCATGCATGTTCTCCAAAGCAGAAAGCCATGTTAGCAGGATGAGCAAGGCTTCTGTATTTGTCACAGTACTAGAAACACAGTCAGCTCTCAATACATGTCTGCTGGCCCACCAAGAAAAAGCAGATGCATGACTGAGGGTAAAGTCAAGGACTATACAGGCTTGCATAGGTCCAATGTGATGTACCTCCTAGGAGGAAATGAGACTGCCCATGATAAAGAGAAGCTCTACCTCCTCTTCCTTGAAAAAATGATAAATATTCCTTGAAACAGACAAAATGATAAGGCAATGACCACCTAGTATACTTTAATTGGTCCTACAATAAAGAAATTTGAAAAAGCAACAGCACTATGCAGTGAGATAGAGATGGAAAAGATTTAAAAGGAACCCAAGAGCCCAAGAAATGCTGCACCACATAACAATGTCACCTACAAGTGGTCAGGTAAGACTAAGTTAGGATTAATCAAACATTCTCTAAGAATTCACTATATGAAAGGCACTACTTTGAATTCTGCAAGGGATAATAATAGTAAGACACTGTCCTTAATCTCCAGAATCTTAAACTCGAGGCTCAGAAAGGAGGATAAAAATAATCACAAAGCAAGGCAAACGTGATAAGGCATCAAAGATAGGTATAAGAAAAAGAAAATTTCCTCCAAGTTATGAGAATTAAGAATAATTTCATTGAGTGGCCAGCAGGTGGCAAACTCACACAAGACCTACTGCGGTTCAAGTCCTGGACCTAGCAGCTAGAAACATGCTGAGTGCATGTGCATTCATGCCCAAAATCCTGAAAGGAGAAGGGACTGTGGTGTGGCCATCTGCCCTGGGGGAGAGGGGGGTGATTTCTCATTGTTTCTCTCTCTCTGTGTCTCCAGCAAGCACACATGTCCAATAGCAAAAATCTCTCTCAAAAATAAATAAATAAAATAAAAAGAATCGCTTCACTGAGAAGCTAATATTTGAGGGAAGAACTGAAGGATTGAATAAGATTTTGAAAATTAGAACTGAGAGGAGTCATTAGTGGGTGAAGGAAACAAAGTCAGCAAAGGAATAGGGGCAGGAATAAATGCTGAGAAATTACCAGGATTTATTCTCCATGAGTAAGTAGTCTCACATATATACATAATCACTTTTGGAAATAAAACAGAAAGGAAATAAATGAGGGCATAAAGCCCCTTGAATTCACATTTGTAAGTTTCCACATAATTCTGCCAAGCAAAAGAGCCAATAGGAATAAAGGCACGGAGATGAGCTTTGAATGTACAGGGAAGGAGGAACAGTCCATACTAAGAAATAAACTCCAGGGTGTGAAGGAGTGGGAAACAAGAATGGAAAGATAGGTGGGAGAGAGCATAAAATAATCTTTATTCATAATATTAAGAAATTTCAACAATACCATGAATCTATAAGGGATGAATGTAGAATTAAAATAGAGGTATAAAACAACTGTTTTTACATTCTTCATTCTAGAGGACAATTCTAACCAGAGTAAGGACAGATTTAAGGGATAAGGGGAGAGAGTGGTAAGTATCTATAATAGAAATCCAGGTCAGGGGTGCAATAAAGAACAGAAAATAACTTCAACTAAACCACAGGCAGTGGGAATGGAAGGAGAGAGAAAACGCTGTCAGTAAGGAAGAGCTGGTACAGTAGAGCAAGGAGATAAGCATTCAACCCAGATAATCACCAAGATGCATCCAAGAGAGGAGTAGTCTGCAGAAGAGCTCAGTTCTCAACACTTCGAGTAAGAGGTTCCTCGAAGTTGTCCACGTGGCTCCAGTGCTCTCCAAGAGAACTTTCTGTGATGATGGGAAGGTTCTATCCAAGTCTGCACTGTCTAGTCGGCTAGCCACTAGACATTAGGGTGTCTAAGCATTTGAATGTTGCAAACTTAACTCAGAAACAGAGTTTTCTATTTGAATCTAAATTCATTTGAATTAAATTGCCACATACGGCTAGTAACTACTGTAGTAGACAGCGCAGGTCTGTCCAGGGCTTCATAGACAATTCTAACCTAAAGCTACAACATGTGATCATAGAAACCCTAAGAATCCAGGAGATCATCATGAATAAGGTACAGCGTACAAAAGGCAGAGGTCTAAGCCAGGTGTTAAAGGCCCGGACAACACCAAGATTTTAGAAGCATCCAGGAAAAGAGAAAACCGAAAAAAAGATGCTCTTGGAAGAAGGGGGAGTGAGGAAAAAATGATGTCACAGAGCCATAAAAAAACTTGTGTGTTTTTTTGTTTTTTGTTTTTTAAGAAAAAGTTAAGTGGTTAAGAGTGTCAAATGTCACAGAGAAGTCAAGAAAGATAATGACATAAAAGGGCCCATTAACTCCCGACAACTTAGAGGCCATTAGTGACATTAGCAAGAATCCTTCCAGTGGAGCACGGGGCAGAAGCCAGACTGCCACAAGCTGAGGAGTGAAAAGCTGTGTGAATCCGCCTTTCTTCTGTTCAGGGGCATGTTAATCTTCTTTGTCTCAGCCAATTTTGGTAAATGTGCTGCCACAGTTGAGTAGGTCAAGGAATAATGAGCAAAGATGCTAGAACATGAGTATGCTATGAATATACTATCTACATTTTATGTCTTTTGGTAATGACATAAAAGGCCCATTAACTCCCGACAACTTAGAGGCCATTAGTGACATTAGCAAGAATCCTTCCAGTGGAGCACGGGGCAGAAGCCAGACTGCCACAAGCTGAGGAGTGAAAAGCTGTGTGAATCCGCCTTTCTTCTGTTCAGGGGCATGTTAATCTTCTTTGTCTCAGCCAATTTTGGTAAATGTGCTGCCACAGTTGAGTAGGTCAAGGAATAATGAGCAAAGATGCTAGAACATGAGTATGCTATGAATATACTATCTACATTTTATGTCTTTTGGCATATATATAACAAAAGCCCCGATCATAACACTTTCATTGACCTTGGTCTGAGTCAAAGCTCTGAAACTGTACATGTGAACTTAATTTTTTTTTTCATATTTTATTTATACTTCTAAAGAATTAACATTCCTTTTTATTTTGCAAAGCTAAATATATAAATGGAGTCAAAATTATGTTGATTTGTGTATTATTGAGAGTTAAGAAAATAGTATAATTTCCTTTTTTATCTTTCCTCACATAATTCTATTAAATTGAAAGGCTCACAGCTCATTCTGTGAGAATGTAAAAACACAGAAAGTACCCAGCATTTATTCCCAACAATGCAAACAAATGAGGCCTCTCAATAAAAAGTCATTTCTTTTTTGGCGAGAGGAGTCCCCCAAGTGGCAAAAGTTGTGTAACAGGGCCTTGTAAAGCCTTAAGTATAGACATATTTTAAAGCTATGTGAAAAATATTTTAAGAAAAAATATTAAGCCTAAATAAAATAATTAAAAATATAATACCTTGAAAGCAGATACATCATCTCCAACAGCTTCTATTAACCCAGCCACGTCTGAGCCAGGAGTATAGGGTAAGACTGGTTTCCTGTTGTAAGTACCAGAGCGAATATATGTCTCCACTGGGTTTACACCACATGCGTGCACTTTGATTAGAACCTGCAGTGACAACGTATTTCAGTTCACATGCAACATTTAGGTATTCATTCAGCATTACCCCATGACTGCTGATCATGGGAGTGATAAAAATAGAAGGAAAAAAAAAACAACCAAATAGGTCCTTGCCTTCAAAAAGCTCACATTTTCATTTTGCAAACTAACATGGAAATAAAAAGCTAAACTAGAATGGCTTACATATTACATTGAAAAAATGTGGGGAAAAGAGTGGAAAAAAAGAAAGTGTGTGTAGCATAGACCTATTTCTTTTTCTTTCTAGAATTACAGGAAGAAGGTTATTTCTTGGCTTCCTTCATGAGTAGCCAAATGACTAACTTCCAGCCAATGGAATATGAGCAAAAAAAAAGAGCACCACTTGCAGGCCTGACCCATAAAAACTATAAAAAAACAGTAAGCCGTCCACACTGTGCTTCATCCTTTCATGGGGACCTCGAAAGAGAGGTGTTGAAAGTGGCAGAGTCACATGAGGGAAGAAGTCTGGGTCACTGGGTTCCTGTGGGGAAAATAGCTACCCACCAACATTTTGGAATTTAAGAATTTAGTGAGTTGAGAATTTCCTACTGTTGAGTCACTGAGATTTTGAGGCTCCACTATTTCAGGAGCTAATTTTACCTTAATTATTACAGAATCATTATCTCTGCTATAAGAGTAAGGGAAGGCCTTACAGAAGAAATGATACTTGAGGAAGGCCCTAAAAGGTGTGTACAATTTTTTTTTAGGAATGGGAGAAAGAGAATATTTTAGATAAAAGGAATCGCATGTGCAAAGACAGAGGAAATGAGAGCATCTCTTGGGGCAACTAGATAAAGTGCGATGTTGTTACAACACAGTTCACGAAGAAGGACTGACAAGAAATAAATCTAAAAAGATAGGTTACAACCAAATTGTAAAAACTCTCATAAGGTTTGCAAAGGAAATTAGATTTGGGAGCGATGGAAGGTGCAGTAATAAAAATACATAATTTTGAATCAAAAGTATATTGTTAAAGGCATTAAAGATGATTAAACTCTACATTGAAATTCTTCTAAATCTTATGAAAAAGCATACGTGCAGAAAAAAACCATTTTCCCACCATGTGCAAAATAAAAATCACCAAAGTTTGTAATTGAATAACTTTTTAAAACTACATATGACTCCATTCAGAAAAATCCAGCTATTGCACTGCATAGATGATTCTCAACCTCAAAACTTTTCTTATAACCAGAGGTTATTCTTTCTCATACATCTACTTCAGTAATTACTAGATTTATGTTAATATTGTCAGAGTTCATATCTATAAACAGTGTAAGCTTTGTCATAATTCAGTGTCTTTAAAAATTATTAAGTCTCCTTCTTTTGAACACTAACTTGATGTTTAGACTCACACTCATACGTAATTACTGCCCAAGTAAAGTAATTATTTCTACCTGATGGCCTTTTGGAATTGGTACTGCAACATCTGACTGGAGTATCAGCTTTTCTGGTCCACCAAATTCAAAAACTCTAATAGCTCTCATCAGCTTCTGTCCAGTTGCCATGGTAATCTAGATACTAAGAAAGAAAAATTAGCGTATCATCATATTGTATCTTGGCTATCACCATGTTTTTTCCCCCTGGAGGTGGCAGATCAAACAATTTTTCAACAACAATTTAAATCATCAGCTCACGACTGATCTCATTTCATGTTTAAGGACCTTTCATCTTACAATCTTTCAGCTACAAAGCAGAATACTTCATACTACTTCCTGTAGGGATTCAATGCCTTCAACAAGATAATCAAATCTGCAAATAAAAACATGTAGATAGAATGACAAAATACTATACCTTCGGTTTTCTTTTTCTTTTTCATCTTTTTCTTTTCTTCTTCTTTTTTTTTTTTTTTTTGAGAGATATTTGTTATAGGGCACATGTGCTCACCAAAGAGACAGAGAGACAGAAAGTGAGAAACACCCCCCCCCCCCCGGGGTGATGGCCACACCACCACAACCCAGTCTTCTCCACTGTGTTCTCAGGATTTTGGGCACACGCACACACACACACAAACACAGCCCGCCTGAGTTTCAAGTTGCCAGGCCCAGGTCTCAAACTGTGGTTAACTATGCGGGAGTCCAGTACCTCAACCACTATGCCACCTGCTGGTCCCATTAGGTTTTCTTCTGTGTAGGCTTGGATAGCAAAACCTTGTAAATTCTGGGAGCCCACAGAAGTCTTATTAGATAGGTCTTTTTTTGCTAGATTATGAAATATTTTAAATATAAATATTAAAAATATAATAAACACACTTAGCTGACATCAGATTTAGCAATAATTTTAAAATGCCAAGTGTGTGTGTATAAGCTCAGG